ATCTTCCATATTTGATGGGACACAAAAAATAAACAATTGCACAAAATCAAACAAAATTTTTTACAAATAAGCCTTAAAATGCTAGCTGTCAAAATATATAATGATAATATGGTTTAGAATGAAAATGGCAGGAAAAATACGACTAATCTGTCTAGTGGTAAAAAAACGAAATTACTTTCCGAACAACCCAATATGATTTAAAATAATTTGTAAAGTTAGAATGTTTAAACAAAATTTCATGGAACTAAAGCTTTCCCACAGATGATGTAATATCAATCTGAAGTTTGATTAGGTATTTAAAAATAGGTATCTATCTAAATACATTGTTTATCTTCATAAGATCAGTAAATATACAAAATTCATAAATTTTTAGACAAAACAGATTTTGAAATTTGAAATCAGTTTTGTTGTTACAAGTAACAACTTACAAGTATATTATTAGTTTTGCTAATCTGCAACTTTCCAACATTTAGACAATTTACTTTTACTTGATTTTGAATGAGAAACATAAATCAACTTTTACAAACTCATTCTTCTTCTTTGTTCTTTAATAAACAACAAACAAAAATCTTTTATAAAATTATTTTCATTCTATTCAAAAATTTTTCAGTCTAATATTTCATACTACATACTAGTATTTTAAAATCATTAAAGTGAATGTTATTAGAGAGGTTGAGGCAGACGTTTTAAACGTGTAAACGTGTAGGACGGACGTTCGGTGCCGCTTTCCCGTAAGCCTAGAAGTTTGACGATAGTGTTTGGAATGTCGAGCGTGATTCCACTGACTATCCAAACACCATTGTCAAACTTTTAGGCTTACGGGAAAGCGGCGCTGAATGTCCGACCTACACGTTTACACGTTTAAAACGTCTACCTCAACCTCTCTATTGAAAAAAATTAAACATTTCTTAGAATGTAGTATATCTTTAAAAATAAATCATTCTATTTAAATATTCCATTTTTTCCCTATTTTACTTATAAATTGCATCTGCAACAAAATGTAAATGAAAGAAAAAAATGAGAAAAAAAAGAAAAAAACAGAATGTTGGATATGGTAACTTCTAAACTGCACATAAGCAAGTGCAGAAGACTAAGATAGTGCAGGTCAAGCAAAGGTTTTGTTTCTATTCTAGCAACTTTTTATGGCATATAACCAATGCATATTACACACTGCCAGTTATATATTACCACAGATTATCCATATGAAAATACAATACAGTAGAACTCTGATTATCTGAATGCTGATTAACCAAATGTCTAATTATCCAAATCACAACTTGCCCTCCTTTCTCTCCCCCACTGATGTCACACTGCAATACTCTTATAATACAGGTCTGTATGATCAGTGATGCCTATTTGCTGTGACAGATCCAAGTGATCAGTAGGATGCTATTCATATATTAATGAATAAGTACCTTACATGTTTACCCACTTATCCAAATTTTTGATTACCTGAATCACCTGCAGAATGAATTATTTCAAATAAAATGTTCTATTGTAATACATTTCATCGTCATTAAGATTTTTACATTTGTTTTACTAAGTTGCTAAAATAAAATTCAATATGAAATATTAATTATATTAAAACCTAATATTTCATCTGACTGTTCATAATAAACATTTATCATTTTTATAATTAAAATATCATGAAATTAAAAATTTGATGAATGGTAAAATAAAGTCTAATTCATTAAGAAGTTATAATGTAATACATATAGATTTAATAAATTTAAATTTTGAAAATCAATCTTATATACAAAAATTTTTAAATATTTATGTATGAACTTAAATCTAAATTTTTTAAATGGATGAATTAACCTGAACTGGAAATGAACATGTCACTTCAGCAAGAGCATTCAAGAAGAACATTTTATGGAATTCATTGGTTTTAACTGAGCATTGTGGACGTATCTGAACTGCATGTACAACAATATGAGCATCGTGTTGACTGTCTGCTGACTGTATATTAACAACTAAAAATAAAATGCAAAAACATTTAAAATTCTACAAGCATACATTATAAATTTTATTATAAATGTAAATATATTTAAATATTGATTAATTTTAAATTTCAAGAATTATTATTTTTTGAACTAAAAAAAAATATAATCAAGTATTTTATATTTTGTATATAAACAACAAACAAAGCAAAACAGAATTACAGGAAAAATCATTATTTAAAGCATATTAGTACTATCAATAAAATTTTTATTGACATTTCTATACTAGACATATTATTAGCATCTATATTTAGGTAAAAAAGCATAAATTTCAAATATCATGTAACTAAATCAGGATAAAAATTATTGAATGCAAACAATTATAGTTAAATTTCTATAAATTTAAATTGTCATCTCTAAAGCAGTTAAAATATTTTTTTATTTATCCATAGAATAGCTATTTCAAGACTATTCAAGATTAAAAATTAAGTTTAAAAGAAATCATTTTTAATTTTTTCAATGTAAGTTATTTATGGAATACACTCACTGACAAAAAATTACATACCAAGAAGTAGGTATCAGAATAAAATTAAAGTTTCTTAGTGTGAAAGTAATAACTGATTACTATATTATAGCAAAGGAACAATTTCCTATGGAACAATGGTACAATTTAAATAAACCTTTACCATTTTGTAAGGATCTCCTCTTTCATGAATACACAGGCATCACATGCTATCCTGCAACAGATTTGCCCATAGCTGCCGCTCCAGAACTCTCGCACTCAAAGATGGCCAAAGCTGGCTTCTGATCTGGTCCATAAATGTTTGATAAGCAACAAATCTAGAGACAAGCTAACTAAATGCAACAAAATTTTAGACATTCCTAGGAAACCTTAGCTTGCCCAGCCATGAAAGGCAACTCGTGAGGGCACAGGATTTCCTGAATGTATCACTATGTCTCAATGTCCCTTGCACCACTACTAGGAAGTGACCAACTATCATATGAGATGATTCCCCAAATGAGTATGCCAACAATGGGCAGTGTGCCTCTCAAAAGTAAAGACAGAAATGAAGCACTCACCAATCGCCCTTCACACTAATATGCTGGTCATCCATTTCTAAACAGAACTAGGATTCATTACCAATGATGATACACTGCAAGTCTGTAGCAATCCATACTTTTCTATTATGACACCACCACCACTGCAAACAAAAAGTCAACAATTTTGGAATGCTAATGGTAGTATGCATAGCAAATTCTGTGCATTCAAATTTGCCTCTGCTAATTACATGTCAATGATAAAGAGATTTCTGTAGCAAGGTTTCAACCTGTTCTCTGAATGGTGAACAAAGATGCCATTGCAGCTGTTTGTACGTGTCTCAAAAACAGACAATCATCACTCCTGGTAGTCTGTCAGGGACATCCAAAGCCTGCTTGTCATGTACATGTTCCATGATTAATTCACTGATCCCAATCCCTCCTGACAGTCAAGTCAGAATGGCCCAGATGATAAGCAATTTGGTAAAATAACTCTCCTCAGCCTAATAATGCAGACTTTCTTTGTGTTGTACAGGCCTGCCTAGTGTTTGAAGACCTCTATATAACAGGTGCTGTACATTGAAAATTGTGAACAGAATGAGCCTCTGTAAGCCTTTTTCTAGGATAGTGTGGTAGCAATTTTAAGATACTTTGATGGCATTGCCTGGCATGCAATTAAACTATAACTATAATAATTTATATACCTATCTGAAATAGCTGTAAACCAAGTTTTACAGCAATTTGACAACTCTATCTGGATACATAACTTTTTTGTCAATTAATGTATCTTATTGTGATGATTACTAATGTTTATTTAACATAAAAATTAGTAGATTACTTATATATCTTATTTAATTTATTATTCATGAAACAAATAAATTATAAAATTAATCAAATTATAATTTTCCATGAAAATTATTTTTTATTTATACTGAAATTTTAAATTAATGGTAAATTTTAATTTTTTTTTTCTGAAAGTTTAAGACAAAATTTATTAAAACAAATATTTTTAATCAAAAGTTGATAATATTTAGTTAAATTATACATAGCAGTAAATCAAATTAACTAATTTTATTTTATTGTTTGGCTATGTAATTTCATATAATATTTATTATAGTAAGTCAAATTATACAGGACTTTTGGATTTTTTTAAATTCAATTTAATTAGTTTGATAATTTAATGAAAAAACTGAAAAAATCTTACATAATTTGCTTATTATTAGAAATTCAAACTTTAGTTTCTATTGTACAGTCAATCTTCATTAAGACACTCATCTGTCCAGTCATGATTTTGGCAGCTAATCAGAGAAGACAGTCTATCATAAATGATTTAAGATACTATCACAATAATACTGTAATTTGCAGGTCTTATAATACTCTTAATAATACTTTTCATAAAAGTTTATTTGATATACTGCATTGTATAAAATAAGTATCATTTTATACAGTATAGCCTGCAATACTGCCTATTATTCCAGCATTAACTAATTACAGCATGTTCAAACAACCACTGGATTATATCAGGCTACTTTTCTGCAATTATAATTGCAGAAAAGTAGCCCAATATAATACAGTGGTTGTTTGGCTTTACAAATTTAGCTGGTTTGTGAGGTTTGTTTATGTATACAGTATGTTCATATTGTAAAACAAAAACATGTTCACTCTCACATTCAACATCAATCCAAACTTCCAGACTGCCTTCAAGAACAAAGGAAAATCTATACTGTATTGTGGAACAACATATTTTCCATTATATTTTATCATTCACTCAGTTCAGTATGTCTGCTTGTATAGCCACACAATATTTCTTATTTTTATTCTTGAGAACTGAAGAACTGAAGGACACACATTTGTCATTTTGTCTTATCAATGTCACCAAGTAAAAAATCTATAGCCATCACATAACTCAATACAGCTATAGTCAATAATCTCAATGCTTTTCTAATATTGTCTTAAGTTTATGAGGTTTTCTCTTACTGTCTTTGATGTTGGCATCTGCTCATTTTCTTCACCATTGCCATCCTCTTCTGCTGAAAAACTGTCATTTTTAATACTAACAGCCATCATCTGATATCAGCAGATGATGATTGTATCATGCATGTTTAGATTATGATGATATCATCATCTTACATGTTGGAATGTTGAAGTCAACTACTAAAAATTCTTTCACAGTCATGGGATGGTCAATGAATCACAGCTTTAAGCTGTTCTAATTTTTCTATTTGATTTTTGCTGTCTTGAGTAATGGAGAGAGCTTGTATTTTTGACAATCTAATATGGGCATAGCTGTCAGCAATTTTTTGTGGAGTGACTTCACTCCATTTGTGTTTAACCATTTAGAGTGCATTTTTAATTAAAGAAAAATCATGATGAGCTTGTCATTAACACAGTCAATATCTGCTTTACTTGGTGTTGATGATAATATGTCTTGAAGCTTCTTAATGCCTGTTTCTATTGGCTGCAACCAGAGACATAGCAATGTTTTTGGCACTCTCAATAATGCATTAGTTTTTTAGTCCACAGAAATAAATGCTTGTGAGGCATAAGAGGCACTTGCACCTATCATGCCTCACAAACTTACCCCATTGCCAATGTATTACTATGGCTCTGGTCGCACAGTAGCGTGCTAGAAACTTAATCCTGACATTGCTGAGTTTTCCATGTTATATGTGGCATTGTGAGGTAGTAACACTTTTCTGTTCTCTCTCTTCATAAAGGCAGTAAATTATTTGAATTATTCTTCTAGTTCTACAGCAATCATCTAACCTTTATTGTGTGGCAGTAATTTAGATGAAGTACTCAATTAATTTCTTGAAACATCATGACCATAAACTTTTCCCAATAACAGTCACTTCTCTTTTGTCGCATCCATCATAATTGATGCAAAATACATGTATAATTCTGTCTTTGTCCTTCTTGCATTCTTTGACTTTTCCAGCTGAGGTTGTTTTGTATGGCTGTATACAATAGAGCCATTTAAAACAGAAGAAAACATTTGTTTAGACAACAATTAATTGCAGGTTTAATGGTAATTGCTTAGTTTTATTTAATTATATACCAGTAGTATTGTGGTGATTGTATACAATAGAGCAGTATGCTTTTGTCCATATTACAGATGTACTGTTGGTTGTATTCTTTAATGATAATAAACATTCTTTAGAGGGTTTCAGTAATGACATTTCCATCAACATCTGCCATATATCATGCATTGTTACTCATGAAAGGCTCCTGTGCTGTTTAGATGTGCCAGTCATACATTATTAAAATTTCCAAGTATCCTCATGCAAAGTTTCTCTCTTACAATAAACAGTTTTATCAAACAAACCTTCCTTTGTACCATACAAATTTTGATATTTGGCCTGACAAGAAAATCATAGTTCTCACATAATTTATAAACTTTTTATGATAAAAAAAATCCCTTTATACAATATGTAGGAACTCTAAAAATCTACAAATTTTATGAAATAAAAACTGGAGTTTTTTTATAATATGATCCTAATCCAGAATTCATAAATATTAATACACACTATTCATAATAATCCAAATTCCATATTGCCATATTTCACAAACTACATTTGAACTATTACTCTAACTACCTAACTAAACAATTTGATGTAAAAGTAAGCTTTAGGTTTCAATTAGGGTTTCTTTCCCAGGATCCCCGCCGTTTATTCCCTACGAGAAAAATCCCGAGAAATTTTATTTTCCCGGGAAATCTCGCATTTCAATAATAATTTATCATGTCAGGTTTTCTTTCTATTATTTATTATACGAAAAGTTGCATCTTGAAAAGTTGCATCTAAGAGAGAAATTTTGAGGTTTCATGCTGCATATTATTACCTATGTTTTACAAGTCTCTACTTGTTAGTTCATGTAATATCTAAGTATTGTGATTGCGCATCATTGAACAGCGGAGCACTCGCTGAAAGTAAGTATCACTCATCGCACTTTAGTTTATTTTTTATTTCATCTTTAGAAATAAAATAGTATTTTTT